CCAAATAAATGTGTGGATGTGAATCAGGTTCACTGAGTGAAGACGTCCACATCCTTCATCTCTGGATTAAATCTCTGATCTCTGCAGAAACATCTACTGTAAATCTTGGTAGCACTTTTTTATTTTACATTTTAGATCTGAAAAACTACAGAATTATCATTTCATGTCCTCCCATTAAGCTATGAAGGACATAAACCTTCACAGCCGTTTGTCCTGTTTGGTTAAAATGCTGGACGGTCCGAGTCTCACTTCCTCCTAGTCGGTTCTGCAGAGCAGAGGTACAGGAAGTGACGTACACACAACCTTAGTTTGATGTTTTTAACGTGTCTGTTCACAGCTGACAGCAACTGAGCAAAACGTTGCTATTTTTAGATCATACAGGACAATATTACGTCATTATTGCCCAGCCTTACATGAAGATAAGCAGGTTCTGTCTCAGGTCCAGAACAAAATTCAGAACCAAAAAAAGTCCAGAGATTCTCTTATATTTCACCCCAAAGCCTCAGCTACAATTTAATAAACTAAGTTAAGCTGAAGTATATTTTTCTGATTCCCATCTGAATTTTCAAGTCCAAAAAGTTCCTGCCTGTGTTCGCTGATGGTGTTCGGATTCTTGGAGTTTCGTGTCTCAGCCTCATCAGCATGTTTGCAGAAGTTTTAATGACTCCATCGTTCCTGATTGCCGTGGCGACCGTCCTCATGCTGTCGGTAACTGACAGATTAATCCGTCCTGAGCCGCCTGATGTCCTCCAGAACCCGGCGGCAGATAGCAGCTCTGCTACCACAGACATTCACCGCCGTTTATTTCTCTGTTTCTACCGCAGCTGTGGATTAATTTGGCATCTGAGCAGCTGCTGATCGTCTGTTTCAGAGACACGCAGGAGTTGTGTTTAAGGTCTGCTCTCTGGGAATGTGCATGCTGCTGATAAGGACAAACACACGGATCAGCAGGAACGATGCTTCTCTCAGTGGCAGTGAGTTGAGATGACAGAAAACAGAAAAAACGTGACGCAGTTTAAGACGTGTGTCAGCTGACGTCTAAACCGGCTGGAGAAAATGGATCCGGATGATTTATTTGTGCTACTGGAAGCCGCTTCTGTCACTGTTGGATTCTCCTTAAAGCTCAGAAAAAGATGACCTACTGGGTGGTAATTATAAAGCAGAACATTATTACCAATGTAGGTCTGTAACCTAATCACTCCTCGCCTATCAGGGTTAGATATCAGGGACATTTGAAGCTGCGGCTCTGCTCAGCTTTTGCTGGCCCACTTACAGAAACGAGGCAATTAGTGACAGTGTTCGCCACCTTACAGCATCTCATTTCTCTCCTATTGGAATAAAAAACAAGAAAATCCTTCACATTTTCTGTCCTCCTGAGCCAAAACACTAAAAGCACATTGGACGATGCTCTGCTGCATTAAACATTTAGGCTAATTATTTACACCAACCTTTTAACTGGGTAGTTTCATATGAAGCAGAAAGCTGCGGAAAGAAGAAAAACTGGGTTTGCGTGATAAATCGCAGTAACATCGTTATCAGACGATGTTGGCATTGTTAACATATCGTATCAAAACCACTAAAACTGGACCAATATTAACAACCGATGTTTATTTCCAGTTGGCTGGTCATGGACAGTCTGCTAGCTAAAAAGTTAGATCAATGCTCAGCATTAAGTGGGTTTTCACTCTGGTGAAGTTTGTGCCGAATCGTCACCTGAGGTTGGATTTACTTGGCTTTGTGTAAAATCTGTTAAATTCTGATCAGTCTGGGAATAAAAGCAGTTTAACGCTGAGATCTTGTCGTGTCGAGCTCTGTCAGAAACCCCCATAATTCCCTTCTGTTTTTCTTCCTGTCTTTGTTTTTGCCCCCCGCCTCGCCCGGCCGCCGCCCACACATGACAGCCTCTCTGCGGCGTTCCCTCCGCTCCCACTCAACATGTCACACGGCCTCATGTGAGCCCGCAGCCCCGCTTTCTCTCTGCTCCCCGCTCCATCCACCCATCGCTGACAGCTGTCAGTAACCCCTCTGGGCGCCATGGCAACCGCCTCCCAGCTCGCCGTGGTGAGAAATGAGACGTGTCCTCCGTGTCAGGACGGGCCGGAGGTTTGGCTGTTTCTGCTCGATGTGACTCATAAAGATCTCGCTGTTAATATTCTGTGATTTCACCAGAGACGGCCGCGCTCTGCGCCGCGTCGCCTCGCTGCTTCTGCTGCGCAGAACTTCATTAAGAAATCACGGTGTGAAGAAAGTCTGCAGCTCTATTGCAGAGCAAACCCAATTACAGCACGGAGCAGATTTCCTCTGCGACTTTGATGCGATTATGAAATTCGCCTGATTTGATTTGATTGGGTCATAAAGCAATATGCAGACGACACGTTCGCTCAGAACACGGAAAACACAATCAGCAACGACGCAGAGCCTGGAAATTATAATCTCAGATTAAAAATCTGACTTCAGGACAGAAACAGGAGACGGTTAAACTTTACAGGAAGAAATGATGCAGAGGGACCCGTCAGAGTCCAGCTGTGTTCGGTTTGCCCAGATGTTCCCTGAAGGTTTGTTGGTTAGACAGAGAAGCAGCCAGGGGAAACTCTGGAGGAGCTGCAGAGATCCACAGCTCAGGTGTTGACAGAAAATGTCACAAACCCACAAATCTGACTTTTATGGAAGATTCATAAGATTAAAAGCATCATCAGGAGAACTTCCGAATAAAGGAGAGACAGTCATTTCTAATGATTTGTGTTTTCACTGCATTCAGAACCACCAGCTCAGTTCAGTTCGTCTCTTTGGAGCCAATGTTAGTCTGGATTAACTGGAGTTAATCTAAACTAGGGAGAAATAATCGCCTGCTGCCTGAACGTATTCACACCGCTGTGAGGAGGAAATAGTGTCTTTTACACTTCTGTCTAATTATGAGGATTTTAAATCTTCCAAATGTTTCCGCTGAGGCAAAGAGGATTAAACGCGATAATCAGATATTTTAACTATTTGTTTCAACTGGTTAAAATCGAAACGCTTTAGATTCATTTAGTCCTTTAAACGAGTGTGACAGCTCATCAGATAAATCAGAAATTTGCTGAAAAAGTCCAGTTGTTCATCAAAACTCCGCATGTCAGCATCAGGTCGAGGTGCTTACTTTGACTAGGCCATGATTCTTTTCTTTTTCAGCCGTAGAGCTGCTGTGTGTGGATCATGTTGTTGGACAGACTCAGACTCAGTCATACAGGTTTTCTGATAAATAAAACAAGCCCACATCACCAGCCCTCCTCCACCGTGTTCGGCTGTTAGCATCAGGATTTTTACAGATTTTCTTTTTGTTTTTTGGTTGAACTAACTGAAAACGGAGCTGCAGGTCCAGAATATTTGCTGGTTTTTGTTGAGCGCAGCAGCCGAGATGCAGACTGACAGTAAAGACCAGGCTGCAGCTGCTGCTCAAGTCTGTTCATCATCTTTAATATAACTGTTGACATAACAATACGCTGCCCAATGCCAGATTACTACAGGTCATGTGTGGGTCATATTATGGGATTACAGCAGAAACATGAGGATTACATAATCTCTACACCAGCAGGAGGGGGTTGGTGTAATGTTTGATGAAAAAACTAATTCTGTGTAATTTAGCTTAATCTGAAACTGAATCTTTGGTAAAATTAAGAGTTTTATCAGGACACAGACATATGTCAGAAAATCCAGAAACTTTATTGTGTTGAGTTTTGTTTCGGAAACATTCAGGAAAACTATTTTCGGTGCATTTTTTACCTTCAGTAGCTGCTGGTTGGTTGATGGGGAATTACTAAAGATTGTTTTGTGGATCTTGTGAAGATTAAAGTTCTGGGAGGCGTTGTGTGGAGGATTATGGTGAAAGTCTGTGATCAGCTCGGCTCGCTCCTGCTGCACTTTGGGTTTCTGATCCTGTTCTGGTTCTCATGGACCGGATCTGAGGGCAGAGCTGATCAGAGTGGGGATGTGGTTCTGCTGCATGGAGGAGGATCTGAATAAAGATGGTAAAAGAATAAGGCAGTATGAACATTTCTGTGTTTTAAGGTTTTTTTAATCCATCTCTGTCGTTTTAGTTCAGTTCATTAAACATTGTGAAGTCAGCTGAGTTTAAAAATATAAAACTGTTTTGGTGATGCTGAAATCCAGAACTTAGCAGTCATCAGTTAGCGGTTCTGTTAGCAGTTCAGTTAGCAGTTAACAGTTCTGTTAGCAGTTCAGTTAGCGGTTCTCTTAGCAGTTCAGTTAGCGGTTCTGTTAGCAGTTCAGTTAGCGGTTCAGTTAGCAGTTCTGTTAGCAGTTAGCACCTGTCAGCCGCAGCAGGTGGCGTCATGAGTGTAGGTGTCCCATCATGGTCTCACTGGATCCACCCTGAGGAAACACCTGCACCTCCCTGACTGACCCGGTGCTCTGACTCTCTGTCTCCTCCAAACCTCTAATTTTACCGGTGATCATGTCTGAAGCGTCCGCTGCTCTTCTGCCCTCTGGTGGCCGTTGTAGACATGTCAGCTGTTGGCAAATAAAATAATTTATCTTCCCATCACTGACCTGCCAGACGCTGTATTAGTGCCAGGCTGGGATTTAGTTTTAATTTACGAGAATAAAACAAAAGTCATATAATCAGAATAGAACATTAAAAATCATGAGAATGAAATTGTAATAATACAACAATATAGTTGTAACAATATGAAAAGGAATAAAGTTGTAATAACACAAAAATACTCACAATACTTCAAGAATAGTAGTATTATTGCCATAAAGTAATAATAATATGAGAATAATCAACTTACCAGAATAAAGTGCTAATAACAAAAAAGTTGTAGTTACACGAGAATGTCATAATAATACAAAAATAAAGTATACTAATATGAGAATAAAAATCTACGTGATAGATGAATTGGTCATGTCAGATCTTTATAACTCCATCAAGGCTGTTTTCTTATGAAAATCCCTTTATTCTGCTAATATCTTATTCTGGTAATGCAGACCTGCCTGTGGAACCCAAACTGGTTCAGTAAACTGGACCGTTTACTGTTCTGACTTTGCTCGCCGTGTTTCTCCTTGTGTGTTGAACCTTTTATCTGAAATCATAAGCAGAGCGGAGATCTGCAGCAGCGTGTTGTTTTGGCCTTCAAGCCCAACACTCCTCACAGCTCCGTGTCACTTCCTGTGCTCAGTGCAGAGCTGGCCTCTCGGTGGTAGGCGCTATTTCCAGCCGCTCGGAGTGCGGCTGCAGCTTTGTCCGTGGCTTTCCCTGGGAAAATGTGTGAGCAGTCTCAGTAGGTTCTGAATGGGGTTAGCTCTCCAAAGGCCCGCAAACATTTGAGGAGGAGTGGAGTCTGCAGGACAAGGTGACCCACTTACTGCAAACAGTCCCTCCCTCCCGCTCTCCAGCTTCCTCTTTTATTCTGCTAGTTTTCCTTCCTGCTCCTCCTCTCCTCTCCTCTCCTCTCCTCTCCTCTCCTACAGCATCACTCAGACGCTTTGAGCTCAGAAACAGCTTTTAGAATAAAATATTTGCTCCTTTCTGACTGGAATATGGCCGAGTCACACACAGCTTCAGCTGAGGCCATGTTTTGCTTCGGTGTTGTTATGAATACTAACCACTAAGTGGCGCTATGACACCATGGTATCCTGCTGTATATGAATGAAGAAGTGTTTTAAAAACGTTTTAAATGTAAACGTCGATCCTTGGATCTGTTGCTGTCCCGGTTCTGACCCACAGCAGCTCTGTGGGTCAGAACCGGTTCTGATTCTGTGAGATGACAAAACCAAGCAAATAAAAACTGACTCAGAGATTCTGGTTTTTTATCTTCACAGGGTCTGCACACATTTTGGCTCTCAGTGTTTCTCCTTTAAAGATCATTTCTTTTAAACCCTATTTAGGTTTCTTTATGATTTCATATAAATGAACAAACATGCAAAACATACATAAACAAGTCAACATCAGACAAAGAGTTACTTTTAAACCTCAATCACCTCGAACTCCTGTCAAAAAATAAAAGAAATAAACATCTTGCTAAGTGTTTATTAGATGCATCTAGATAAATTTAATAAGGCTCACACATTTTCAAACTAAATTTTTAGACAATAATTACAGTATTTTTTTTCCAGTGGAAAACTGGTGTTTGACGGTTTTGGCCCGTGCCTTTTAGTCCCGACCTTTTGACCCCCGTCCTGACCTTTTGACCCCCGTCCTGACCTTTTGACCCCTGTCCTGACCTGTTTGTGCCTCCTCTCTCAGCCCCAGCGGTCACGGCGAGGCGCCCGGCCCCAGGAGGAAGCTGTACAGCGCCGTTCCAGGCAGACACTTCGTGGTGGTTCGCTCTTACTCCGCCCAGGCTGAGGGAGAAATCAACCTCTACAAAGGCGACAGGGTCAAAGGTCAGTCAGCTTCTGGGAGATAGACTTTACCCAGCCCTGAAAATGTATGAAAATCTAAGCTAATATTCCAAAGTTGCATCCAGAAAAACACAGATTTTAAGATTTTCCTTTTGCTTTGAATTGTGTTTTCTGGATCAGAGATTTCTAGATGTCTTTGTTTTAAGGAAATGTGAAATATTACGGGGTGTAGAAAAGCAAAGTAAATTGTAAGAACCAGACTTACGATCTTCAGCATGGCTGAGGAAACTTCAGACAGGATAAGCAGGAAAACACAATTTCAGAAATCTTGGAGACTTAATGAGATCAGAAAAAGACGCTGTTGGAAAAGAACAATATGAGTTTAGAAATAAATATCCGTCTGGAATTATAAAGGACTTTTAAATTTAGTTCTCACAGCTTCTAAACTTGAGACACATTTGATAGTTTTGGATGCAGGATAAAGATGTGACTTCATTCTTCTGAAGGTTGCAGAGAGAAGCTGACTGAAGACGGAGCTAATCCTTAAAAACAGGAAAAATAAGGAACAAAAATATGTGTAGAGACAAAAGATATGAGGGTACGTTTGTTATTTAATGCCAGTTACAGGAAAGTCTGAGGACTTTGCAGAGACGAGCATGCAGAGATTCACAGTATGAGAGATGAATCTTATCTGGAAGAGGCTCCACTAAGACCTGGTTCTGCTAAGCCAAAGGATGAAGATTTCCATCCATGCATTAAGATTTAAAAAAGATGGACGTCTTTCAGCTTTATTTAAACTCTTTCTGCCAGATTAACCTTTGACCTTTAAAGACTCAGCGTCGTGACTGAGTCTCATGTTTCTGTTAGACGGTGAAGAATCAGAGTAATGAAGTTAATGTCAGGAAAACAGAGGCTGTTCATTATTCATGTCTGCTGTGGCATGAAGTTAAATAAAATTAGAAAATTATTTTAATTTTGGTTATTTAATGATTTATTTGACCTGTTGGTTTTTCCATAATGAAATAATTATTCGTCATAAAACTGACACACAGACATAAACGGGTGTAACTACATGTCCACCGCGCTTTTCTCAGCCTTGTTTAAACCGTTGTTGGCATGTGGTAATGTTTTTTCCGAGCCGTCTTTAAACACTCCATGATTGAACGCTGATGTGCTGCAGAGCAGCATGCTGTGTCAGAATCATATTCATAAAGAGCAACAAAAGGCAAAAAACTGTCATTTTCCTCCAATCTGTTGAGTGACGCTGGTCCACGCAGATAATGTTAGCTAATGTTAGCTAAGTGATGGCTAGTTAATCCATGCTAATGTATCCTGTCAGGCTTCCTAGCAGTAATACTAATGCTGTTGTTACATGTCTTGCTCGCAGTGAAACAGTAAAATCAGCCATGCTGATGGTGATATTGTATGTTACAGCATGTTGTACTATCGATACATGATGGGTCGCATCATGTGTCGATAGCACAATAGCACAATGCTAAAGTGCTGAATTCAGCACTTTAGCATTGGCTTCTGCTTGGTGTTAGCACAGCTAACGTTAGCAGTGCTGACCACTGCTGCTGATGTATCTGATTACCTTTATCAACCTTCCAGAACTCTCAGGTCTTCTGGTTCTGGTTCTGCTCTGCATCCCCAGAACCAGAACCGCATATGGAGAAGAAGCATTCAGCTTCTATTTACCATGAATCTGGAACAAACTTCCATAAAAACAGCTGAAACTGAGCTCCTGTAAACACAGGTCACATCCCACCTGGTTCAAGTTGCTTTTCATTAACAGTAACTGGAACATTGACCATCAAACCTGAAGATTTTGATGGTGGCATTTGACAATATGTGATGATACTGTGAAAAAAGGGGAAATAGACTCGACTTAACTTTAACCTCCTTGCTGAAACTTCATATTTTGAACTTTACTGTTTGAATGAAGTTTTTAATTTTTAAGTTTCTTTTTTCCTCCCAGTTCTGAGCATCGGAGAGGGGGGATTCTGGGAGGGCAGCGCCCGCGGCCAGGTGGGCTGGTTTCCGGCCGACTGCGTGGAGGAAGTCCCGGCCAAGGCCACCGAGGAAAGGACCTGTGAGTAGCATCGGCTGTGTTGGTTCCACTTCAGAACCATCATTCAGATTTTTCTCTGTAAATTTCTGTTCATAAATGAGCTGAACGTTTTCATGAGTGGGAATGAAAGCGGTAACTCCTGACCCGCTGATGCATGGACCCCACCAGACGCCTGAAGGCACCAAGATGTTAGCAGCAGATGCTAACCCTGGAAGTGTGAGGGGGGGGGGGCGCCAAGAGTTGGACCCATTCCCGAAACTCGATTTCCTGGCGATGTGGAGGATTTAGAGGCCAAATAAAAATCCTCAAGCTGTTTGTTTTTCTACTCGGAGTGTGATCGGTGTGTGACAGGGAGCTTCATGCTGCTAGCTGCTAGCTGAGGCCACAACCTTCAGGAAATGAAAAAGTGGCCCAGCGTTTCCCAGCAGAACATTCTCCCTGCTCCACATCAGGTCGTTTCCTGACTAATCTCCACTTTGGTGTTTTTCTGGAACGTTCCTTTAAAATTTTTTGCACCAACTTCTGTCTCTCAGAGAGATTTACGCCCGAGCTGGAGTTAAACACTCAGAACTCATTTGTGAACGTTAACTTGCTAATCAATCATCTTAAGACTTAATTAGATCCCATAAAAGCGTTTTGGTGTGTGACGGCACGTGGCCCGTGTTTCAGCTGCATGTGTGTCCTCCTCTGTCTTCCCGTGTCCCCCAGGCTGCCGTGTGCCGAGCTTAGCGCTACATTGCCCTGCTAACTCAGCTGTGCTCTTATTTCCTATGGGTGCTAGCTAATGAACATATCACTTCACGCTCCGTCCCCCTAAACGTTCCCCCGTCCTTACGTCCGCTTTGTGCTGTAAATCTACAGGAGACGTTTGAGACGTCTTCTGTCTCTCTGCCTGTTTTTCATCTGTTTTCCTGCTTTGTTTAATTATTGAGATTAGCACAAGGCGGACATCCATCAGCTCTCTGGTCTAACTCTTCCCCCGGGGAGCGCCAGCCATGTTCCGGGGCGGCTCTTGTTCTCTGGCTGTTTGCCTTCGTCTGTGTGGCTCACTTTAAAGTTTAACCCAAGGCCGTTGGCGCGGGAAAGCCTCCCTCATGCGGCGCCGCGTCCAAGCTGCCCCCGGGTCTGCCTGCAAAGAAAAGCCTGTCAGAAATGGGAGCACAGTATGGCGTCCTGCAGAGAGCCATTCAGAGGCGGCTTCAGTCGAAACCACGGGTCAACTGTGTGTGTGTGTGTGTGTGTGTGTGTGTGTGTGCTGTGCTGCCACATGCAGCAGTAAAGCAGTTGATCGAGGATAATATAGATGGATGATTGTGATTTTCTATAAATTCAGATAAATTCATCTTTTACTGCAGCATAATAATCTAATAATAAAAATCCACGGCTTCTCTTCAACATGGGAAACACAAGAGAACATGCTCCATAGCAACCATTATACAGCACAATAAAACCTTGTGTCCTACCATCACAAACATAAACTGGAACAACAGGATTTCTTCCTTTGTTGCTTTATGTCAAGCCATATAATAGAAAAATAAAATCTTATTATACATACAGTAAGAACAAGGTTTGGTTGTCTGAGGCAACAAGTTGCTGCAACAAACATTCCAAGTGGTTTTCATGTGAAGAACACCTGATGTCCACTGTCAGGTACAGTGGAGGACGTGTGATGCTGTGGGACGGATTCCCCTCTGGTAGGTTGGTTGGTGTGCACAGTAAAACCAGGACGTTCTTCGTAAAATCTGCTCATCGTTGGGTTTTTCAGGAAAACAAAGATCCGACGGTTTGTCGTTTTCAAACGGTTTGGTTTTCAGGACATCAGAGCCAACATGGCGGCAGCCTGTGGATGAACCAGAGAAGGCCTGAGGCGGTCAGATCGTTCTGACTTCCTTCAGATCCGATCCTGAGAACAAACCTCGTCTGTCTTCGTTCTTCCAGCTCTTTCCCGTTTTGGAACGTTTTTCCTCTGGGATTTGAGTGTTGCTATAAATCTGCACAGGCAGCAGGATCTCCCAGCAGCGGACCGACCCGGACAACCTCCAACAGCGACCCGACCCGATCCGACTCTGGACCCGCAGAGTCACAGAGCGAAGGGAGAAACATACCAATCTGACCGGTTAATGGCGGCTTCACTCGCTACGCTAGCTTCAGATAATCCAGGGAAACAAGCTGATTGCAGAAGAAATATTTAAACATTTAAGCTGCCTGTGAGTCGCGTAATTATTCAATGCCTACATCATCATTTATTCATCAGGACTGGAGAAACGAAGTCCCTTTGTGCTCCGTCTGTAGGGAAGAGTTGGCGTGATAGTGAGAGCTGCGCTGATGGAAACGGCAGCTCCGTCTAAATCCATGATGTTTCCAGTTTAATATGCTTAATGTTTCTGCAGTTTTTATTTTTACCTCCGTCTTTTCCTCCCGCCCTCTCTCACAGAAATTCACACACGCTGATTTAAGTTAAAGGCGTTTAGCCTCTAATCCGTCTAATTGAATAGAAGTGATGCAGGCGGATTAAGGCCCGCTTACACACGCTGCGGTTGGACCTCGGCTCGATTCAGAGGTCTGGAAACACGCAGAAGAAGAAGAACTCAGTTTAACATCAGGTTATCGATCAACCTGGATCAGAAACAGCAGATTTACGTTCATCAGTTTAATCTATTAGATTATTTCAGAGCGGCAGCCACCGGAGGCAGTCTGGCATCCGGAGGAAACGTTTCCTCTCTGGAGGAGAGGACTGGACCTGCGGACTGGACTCCAAAGGAAAGAGAGAATATTTCTCCAGTTTGGACTGAACTGAACTCTGCTGAATTGTTTGTAACAGATGAACTGTTTTGGAAATCTGAGATGATCTTTTCTAAAACCTAAAGCAAGAACAAATCCACTGGCTTCGCAGCAGAAACGAACAACGATCCCAGTTCAGACCCGACTCTGGGAAAAGTTTGTGTTCTTCCAGTCAATGTTTCATCATTTTGGCAGGAATATCAACATCCATCATCCCTGGTTTAAACTGCATCATGTGAGGTTTCTGAGGAAGGTTTGCACAAACAAAACCTTAAAAAAAAAAACATTTTAGCTAGAAATGTTTCTAACATCAACATGAGAAAACTCAGTGTGGGACTGAACTGATGGTCCATTTTACATGAACAGATTTTTATTATTTTAACTCAAATGCAAAATGTATATTTTTTGTACAGTTTTGGCTCCGACTGTGTTGTTCATTCACCATATTGCCTTTTTTGAGTTTGTGTGCTTCAGTTAACAATTAATGAACGACTAAGTTAGTTGATTATTTCCATAATTGATTCATCTGATTAATCGTTTCAGCTCCAGATCTGAGCTTTTGAGGCGTTTCTGGAAGCTTTAAACTTTTTTCTCACTTGTTTATTTTCATGTTGGGCTTTTGGATGGTTTATCATTTTAGCCAGCCTCTCTCTGCAGCAAACACTATTTATTTGACATGTATGGACCCCAGTCAGATCCAGTTTACGTCTCGTTCCAGAGGTCAGATGAAATATTTCTCGGTGAGTCGGTCCAAAGTCCGTTCCTGCAGAATGTTTCTGTTTCCTGGAGTTTTCATGGTTTTGTCTGTAGTGACAGCTTCCTGAACGCCGTCTGACCCTCTGAGCCTCCACTCTGACATGAAGATGTTTGGGAACTGAAACCTTTTCAGCCTCGTTTTGTTCTCCATTCACCTGCACAAACCAGCGTAAGGCCAAACCAGAGTTTTTGGCCTTCAGCGTTTCTGATCTACGTTACGCTGAGGTTGGCGTCCATTTTGGCGTCATGTTCTCACCTCATCCCGAAGGAGGCGGATCGTCTGGTTCCTTCTTGGAGCTGCTGCAGCTGCAACCAGAACTGACGCACCATCAAACATCTGAAACATCTGCATATGAAACAATCTAAGCTACAAAGATGGCGACCGGCACCCGACGTTAGCTTGATTGCTTTTTAAACCTAAATTTCAGCACCACATCCATGGAACTAAAAAACAAAACCTGCTACTGTAATTCTATTACAGATGGGCAGCAGCTGCAGCACATCCCGCTGCGCACACACACACACACACACACACACGTGCGCGCTGCTCTAATTTCCCCTTCTCATTCTCACGTCTTTCCCCGGAGCTCAAAGCCACGATGAAACTGAAATAGGCAGGAAAACAGGGGTTAAAATGGGCCTGGAAGGAACCCAGAGCAGAATCAGTCATACGCACGCGCACACACACACACACACACACACACAGCTGACAGGACGGTGATACAACCACAGACGGAGCAGACGCACATGTTTTCACACAAATGTGAGTACTCTGTGTTCTGGTGAGACACATGGCTGCTGCGTCCCTATTGATCTGTGACCATAGAAACCAGCTGACCGTTGCTAGGGACCACCGCGATGCCGGAGACGACACGTCCCCTCCGCGCTCCTCATCACCAACATCGAGCGTTTCTTTCCTCTCGGTAAAACAGAGAAAGAGAAAAGCTGGTAATCCTGTCTGATCCGACCCGATCGGACCCGAAACGGAACCAGGGAGAGGAGGAAGGCCTTCCTGCAGCGATGACCTCAGGCGCCGTCTCTGTGAACTAGTGACAGCTGGTGTGACAGAAGAGGGAGGAAGATGAGGGGAGGAGATGAAGATTAATCTGACAAACCAACGAGAATCCGACTGACGACGTTGTTTACACAAACATCATGACGTCAAAGTGTTAAGTTTGTTTTAACAGAAAACCAGATGGAGAAAAAAACAGCATCTTCATGTTCCACCTGCTGCCTGAAGGGGGCACCACTGAGGACCAGCTGCCTCCATGTCAGTCTGCTGCTTCCTCTTCCTCTGGCCTGATGCACCAACCGGGTCAGCTCCAACCCTCAGACAACCTTCAGCTCTGGGTTTACATCCACAGGTCAGGATCCGTGATGGGGTCAAGAGGTCAAGCTGGCCGCCATACCACACACACGGAGCGAACACGTCTGGATCCAACGGCACCATGTTTCACCACGGACCTGATTCTCCGCCAGCACCACGAGAACCTGAAACCACCAGCGTGTTGCTGCAGAACATCTGGATTTCTATTCCATCTTTGACCAGAAAGAGTTTATGAAACTAGATTTACCTTTTCATATTTCTGTAACCAACATGAGTTTGTGGCAAAATTGTTTCACAGACGATGGATGGATGGATGGATGGATGGATGGATGGATGGATGGATGGATGGATGGATGGTTGGGTTGGATGGATGGTTGCGTTGGATGGATGTGTTGGATGGATGGATGTATAGATGATGGATGGATGCATGGTTGGGTTGGATGGATGGATGGATGGATGGATGGATGGTTGCATTGGATGGATGGATGGATGCGTTGGATGGATCTTCTTCCTTATTCTATGAACCTGTTCTGAAAGCATCCGTCCGTTTGTCCCTGAGGGGACAGACTGGAGTCTCAGTCGTGTCTCCAGACCCGGTCCAGTTCTGAAACCGTCTTTTGGTTTTGGTTCTGTAGTTCTAGACCAACTCTTTGCTCATCGGCGTAAAACCTGCTAGCGTGTTGCTACTTCCTGCTTACTGCAGGCGTTTCCAGATGTTTCCTGTAAGCAGACAGGAAGTGGACTGTGGTTCTGATGTGGTTCTGCTGGGCTCTTTCTCAGATTCCCGAGCGGACCGGGCCGACAGACGGAAACTCTTCAGACATTACACCGTGGGCTCGTACGACAGCTTCGACGCCTCCAGGTGAGCCTGAACGTTTCGTCCTTTGTGCCACCGATTCATCTCCGTCTGCCTTCATTCACGTTTTCTGTCCTGAGAAAAAGGAAAATTGGTTGAATTGTCGGCTCTGACCGAGTTCTCTGAGTGAACGGTTTGCTGTGATGGCTCCTGACGCCGACACCCAGTGGTGCTGAGGTCTGCTCTCCTCTGCTGTCAGGTCCGCTTTAATACGAGCTTCAGCGGGAACGAAGATGGATGTGTTCTCCTCCGGGTCGCAGCAGAAATCGAGTCTAATCCCGGCTCCGCTTTGAACTAATTCTGTTTAAAAGAATCAGTCAGTTTGGTGAATCTCTGCAGCATGTTAATGGGCTGAGTGGAAGGTTCTGATCCGGTCCCAGAGAACTCCGATCTCTTTCTTTAAACATCTAATCTATAAATTTTGTTTCTGCAAACGCTACCGAGGAACAGACATGATTTTCTAACTTTATACAGACAAATGGATCCACTGATTCAGATCTAGTAAAGTCTGATGAAGCCTATGTTATTACAAATACAGTCAAATTGAACTGATCGTAATTTCAGCAATCCCTCCTGAGAAACATGGCGACAGTGGGATGATGTGGTGCCGTGTTGTTTAAACAGAAAGAGTCCTCCATTAGAACCAGGACCGGTTCTAACCGGTTCTGGTTCGCTCAGAGTGAGTGGTTCTCTTCAGAAAACTCTTTTAGGATGCGGCTAATGCTAAATTTCCAACTAGTTCCACCAACCTGGTGTTCAGCTTATTCTAACTCGTAAAGTTGATTTCAACATGTGTTGTAACATAGTATGTCGCCCTCAAACGGCTCAAATTTGTAATTACACTTCGACATGTACAGTCATGCTTCAGGAAGTGATTCTTCAGACCTGACCTTTCGCTCATGGTTTCCGTTTCATAGTTGCTGATTTTTCTAACTGACCACAGCAGGGCTCTGGTCATAAAGCAGACTGGTCACTTAGCGCTTAGCATTAGCCATCACTAAGTAACATGTTGGTGTAGCGTTAGCAAAACAAATGTTTCTGATTGGTGCTTAATAGTTAGCTTAATGTTTTAGCTAGCTGAAAAGAAACTGAACCACTGGAAAAAGTTACAAGTTAACAAACTCATAAACTGATTTGGACTAAAATAAAGGAATTACAGGTGTGAAAACTTGCACTTATTTTCTTCTAGAGGTGATCTGAAAGCAGAATCCAGAACCGTTTCTGGACCAAGACCAATTCAATGGAAACTCCAAAAACTTCTCAGGAAAAAAAAACTCTTTAAATTCCAGTTTTAGTCACTGCAAACAGGTGTCAGTGCAGATGTTTTTTAACCTTTATGGAGTGATTTCATCATTTTGATTTATTTATATAGCTTGGCTCTAGAGGCCTTTAAAGGGCCATTAGACCCAGAGAAATGATTTAGATGATGCGGTAACAGGGCGTTTCCTTGTTACTCTGCTGGATGTGCGTTGGCAGGACTCCGAGTCCGGAGCTCCGACTCTTCCATGTGGGTCAAGGTGAAGCGTGTCTGCCATAACTGAAGCTGCTCAGCCAAAGGCAGAACGTGACGCAGACTCCAGGTCCTGCAACATTCCAGGTCCAAAGGTTTCAGGGGTTTTTCCTTGAAGGAGCAAACATCCCTAATGGTTGTTATTTTCTTTCTCAGACGTTGCTCAGGTTTTTTCCTTCTTTTTATGGAACACTGTGGTCCTCCTGTCAAGCCTTTCTTTCCTCTTTAAAGATGTATGTGTGTGTTTTTTAGCTGCCAGTGGGGAAGGAAGGAGGAATTTATCTTCTTCAGTGTGTGTGTGTGTGTGTGTGTGTGTGTGTGTGTGTGTGGGCAGGCAGCAGGTCGCACACAGATGAAACCAGACCTGCAAGTAGACCCGATCGATCACTGACAGCAGCCCCGTAATCCTGACTAATGCACTTGAAGACGAGAACTGGGCGCTTTGTGCTGAAACTCTGCAGGTTAGAAGACAGAGAGGGAGAGGAGACGTCTTCATCAGGACGCGTCCATGTTTACATGCTTACTGTGATGTTTAGCAGGCGACAGAAGCTGCCATCATGTGTTCCTTGGTAGAGGAAACCAGGCACTCAAACACAGACATCCAAACTTAACCAAATGTTTCAACGTGTTTCATTTTTCTTTGGCCTTGTCCACATGTAGCCGAGTCTTTATAAAAACCAATATCCCCGCACATCGTTTTATAAAATAATACTGTACACGTGGCTGTGTAAAACCAGTTTATTAATTTATTTTTAATTGTTTCATTCTTTGTAAAACGTGACGATCTCTAACTGAACCTCTTAGTTTACATTCAGACGTTTGTTTGCCAAGATTCCTTTCCAGCCTCCTGACCTAAAGATAATTAAAAATCTTTGAACAAGTTCATAAAAAGAGCAGCTCAGCAAAAGCCATCATCAGCAGTTCAAGCTCTTTGCAGCAGGCATAAAAACTTGAAAGTCAGGATATTCCCAAAGGGAAGTGCAGGTTGTCTAAAACTTTGTTGGAAGTAGGAAAACGGGACTAATTTCATTTTCAGTGTTGCAGGAGAAACGAGTTTTCCCATGAACTCTCTCTCTCCGAGCGTTTGATGCTTATTGATGCAGGAACTCTCCCAGTTTGCAGAATGTTGCTGCGCTGCTGGCTGGACTCCAGATGTGAACCTCCATCCGCGCTGCATTAGCTCCCTGAGCGGTCCAGGATAAAACGCTGATGATGGTGGCGGCGTTGCTCAGTCACCAGGCACAAATGGATGCAGCCGGCGGGAAGGAAACCGCCACTGAGAGTACTCTGCAGAACGCCATTAACGGGTCACAATGAAAGGCTGATTTTCAGGCTTTTTCTCCCGTGCTGGTGATGTAAGGAGGGAGCCGGATAACTCACCTCCGGATCTCCAGATTCCTGATGTGGAGGGATGAAAATCTGACCATGCAGCTCAGAGAGCCGCTATAAATACCCTGCAGACTCCCACAGTGGAGCTCACAATGAGAGGCTTCACATTTCCTCCCATGCATGCTGCACGCTCAGCTCTATTTGCAGCCTGCTGGCCCTCCCCGCTCGCTGCTGAACAACATGACACGTTGGATCAGCTTTCAGGCTGCTGGCCTGATACAGAGGCCAGATTTCAGATTAACACAGAGTGTGTGAATGTGTGTGTGAGGGAATGCTGTGAGGTAACCTTCGGTGTATCAGCATCGCTGGCCTCCTTCCTCTCTACACAGATTGCGTTGCTAAGGGAACAGTTGCTAGGATGGCGGTCGCCGCTCTTTCTCCTCCTTCGTTCCTCTGTCTGTCTTTTCTCCCTCTTATCCCACGTGTCTGTTCACTGTAATCCTGATATAAGATGAATGAGCCGCCCTTGCAGCAGTCGCCCCAAGTCATAAAAGCAAACTTGACCTTTGGTTCGGACGTCTCAGAGCCCAAATGCAGCATTTTTTCCTGCATGTGTGTTCCAGAAACGGCTTGTTAGCAGGAGGGAGGTTAGAAGGAAATGAAGTGAGAGAATTCAGAGAAAGGATGTGAGGCGCGGCAGCGTAGAGCTGAGTCAGACCTAACGGGCTCCCTGAGCTGCTCTGGAGAAGCTGCTGCTTCATCACCTCATGGAGGATTCCTCATAAACACAGCTGCAGCTGCAACAGCGGAGGCTCCAGCGCCACAGCTGCTGCTCACACACAGCGCATGAACACACAGGCATGTTTGTGTCTTCTGGTGTGCCACACAAACCGATGATTACGGTTTTATCTGCTCTGTCGCTGATGATAAAAGGACTTAAAGGATTTGTTAGCAAGCAAAGATTTAAACTGAAGCTTTTGAGGATGCAAACATCCCAAAAACTCCTGAATTACAGTTTATACTCTGTTGGAAGTGAAGCTAATTATCAGCATTTTACAGATGCATCTCAAAAAATGAAAATGTCATTAAAAAATGTATTTACCTCAGTAATTTATTTGGAAAAAGTCAAAGTATAAAGATTGATTACATTCAGAGCAACAAAATTCAAATGTGCTTCTTAAGTAAATAAGGTGAAAATATCAGATTAAAATGCAGAAATATATCCATATTTGTATTCACTCCTTCTGCATGACTGACTGCAGTAATGCAGCGTGTCATGGAGGCCGACGTTGCTTAAGGTGAATAGGAATTGCTTCACGTTCCTCTCAACGCTGCAACTTTCGCAACAATTTCCTCCTTCCACTCAACTTTCTGTTAATGTGCCTGTATAAAGTACTTTGTGAACAGCCAGCTTGTTTAAGGCTTACTGTCCTTACAGAACATGTTTGTGATCTCTGAATTAATGTCAAGACAGAACCTGTGATCTGACATTTCTGCATTAAAAGTCCATTTTGTTCATGTGATGTAATATCATAACTTCCTCTGTTTCATTTTGCTGTAAGTCATAATAATCACAAGTCAGTGTTAGCAGTTTTACAATTGATTTGCTAAAATAAATGAACTTTTTAATGATTTTCTAATTTTGTTAGTAATTTTGCTTATTAACTTCCGATGGGAAGGACGTGGGTCATAGATGGTCAGATCCCTGGGGAACTCCAGATGTGATAGAAATGGTTTTAACTGTTGAGGATTCGAAATTATAATAGTAATAAAAAAAATTTAAACTATTTTCAACCCTCTTTATTGTTTCCTGTAGGATTTTCAGATTTTGTGTCCTAGTTAAAGGCTGTAATGTAAACAAACTGATCCGCAGCTTTATTCTCAGTCATCTGCTCAGACAGGCAGACAGAGACACTTTTTAAGAAGTCGGTAAATGACTGTGCTGTCACCCACCCACTCCCACTCCGCTTATCTCTCCGCCGAGTCTGTTGCTGTGGTTTCTCATTGCGGAGCTCTCCAACCGAGAGACGCCGCTCCACGCCGCTTCTCCTCCGCCGCCCTCCCTCCCTCCCTGCCCGCCTTCCCGTCGAGCCGCAGCCTTCCTCCCCGCCTCACCATGAGCCGCTGAGCCGCCTTCAACCTCCAGACTCATGTCGCGTCTCCTCGAAGGCGCCGCACTGCCGCACCGCCGCTCGGCTCCTCCGCAGCAGCGGCAGGAGCGGCAGCGGTAACCGCGCGGCAGATTCCGCTCCAGACGCAGCGGCTGCAGCCATCGCCGTCGTTTCTTCTTCACTTTATTTTATTTTTTATTTTTATCTTGTGGCTCGTCTTTTTTCCCGGAGATGCTGTCGCAGGGCTGCCGGGGCCGCGGCCGCTCGGGCTGCTAGAGCCAGAGGAGGAGGAGGCGGTGGTGGTGTGGGGTGGGGGCGCCCTGCCCTGCCCTGCCCTGCCCCGGCCGGACTAGCTCTCCTCCAGCAGCATGAACCTCCACTCGGGCAGGGCGTCCGTGGCTATGCTGCGGATGATGGGCTGTGCTAACGGGCGCTCTGCTCGGCATCTGCTCCACAGTGACTGCGTGGTGGATGAGAAGACGGTGGTGCTCCAGAAGAAGGAGAATGAGGGCTTCGGCTTCGTCCTGCGCGGGGCCAAAGGTAGGAGACTCGCTCATTTATGGCTGCTTTTGTCAAGGATTCATTTCTGTGCATGTTTGTTTGAGACAGATTTAGTTAAATGCCGAATTCTATTTATACCAACAAATAACTTGTTGGCACAGCTGCTGTGTGCGTTGAAATCCAGATTATGACCCTAATTCTGTGCATGTCGGGCTGTTTATGCATTAGAATAGAAACAGCTTGAATGCGGCGCTGCACATCAGCTGGATGTGTTGACATGTGTGTCAGAGACGGCTGGATGTTTCTGACCCTCCAGAGCTGCGTGACATTAGAGCGTAACGTTAAACTCCTCCGGACTCTGACATCAGCAGCAACATTTACACCTGACCTGCACGTATCTGCATGTCGGTCTGTTTTACGGCAGAACGCATTAAATAAAACACGTCATAAGCCTCAGTTTGTGTCCGTAAATAACTTTACAGCACCGTGAAAGTGACCCGCAGAATTCATCTGTATGTGGCTGTGCGTCAGGGCTGCACTTTAAACAATTTCATCTGAAAGAGTTGGAACTTCCAAGGTTAACGATTAGCTTTTAAAAGCTAATCTCGGGCAATTTTACGGCTGGAAGCCGTGATGAATCGATTATTGAAATAATCGTAATCGGTTCATCATTAACCGGAGCACACACACTCCAGAAAGGCCATTTACTGAAAGATCAACACAATCAAAGCAGTACTGAAGATAAAGCTGTACAAAAATATAAGCATTTTGCATTGAAAACAAAAATCTCATTCGTCTTTAAGTCTGTTCTACACAGAGCTCCTCAAGTTTCAGTTTTAGCTTCAAGTTCTGTAAATAAAATCTCCCTTAAACACATTTTTGGTGCTTGAGTAGATTATGTTAATCCACAGTTCATGTATTCTTTTACCTGCAGATGTTACAAATGATAAAACATTCACTAAAGGAATGTTATTTTTATTTCCTTATCTTAAAAATAATTTATTTGTATGTTTTAAATTTATTTTTAATATTGTATACAAAGACTTGAGTGAGTGAATGATAAATATGCAGAATATTCCACTTTTAATCTGATTAAATGTCAAAATAATTGATAGAGTGATCGATTGATTGTTAGCGGATTGTTCTGACCCAAGATCACAAACCAATGCTCGTATTAACCCAGTTCATCTTTAGTGCATCATCTTCCGGTAAAATCAATCTTGGAACAATTGGAGCACAAGAAGGAGATGCATGTGATGCAGCATCATCATCATCATCATCGCATGCTTGGCTGTCACGTTTCAGCTGCTATGCTTTCAAACTGCTGGTCAACCGGATATTTACTCATTAAACTGACTTTCTCTGTCTTTTATGCATGCGGCTGGTCTTGATCAACATGCTGAAGTAGTGAATCACTGTGCAGATATTAGCTAACTACTTTTCAGTTTCACTGTTTTGTGAAGCCATGCAGCATTATGTGGCGTAAATCTGCCACCAGAGCAACCAAACTAGGAGTACAGCATGTTATCGGCATCAGCACCGGTTGATGTTAGGAATTTGTACCTGTGTCAGTCTGCTAATTAAAACTGGGCCGTATTGACAACATATTTTTATGTCGGTAAAAATACAGATTTTTCAGTAAAAATCTGTAAAAATTGACATTTTTATGTTGAAAGGGGATGTGGTCGTGTGGTATTTGTTTGGTCATGTGACCATGTGATTGGTGGGTTTTTGACTAAAGTAAGGAAGCAATGTCATCGTCTGGTCAGTTGGGAGATATAGATAATATATCGGATATCGATATCGGCCCAGATTTTCAGATGGGTGAGTTCCTAAACGAGAACCACCATCCATGTGGCGCTGAAGCAAAACTCCATGACATCAGCACAGAGGAGGACTGCTGGCATGCAGCTCCTCCGGACACGTTTGACACGTCCCTGTCCTCCGTCCCCGTCCTCTCAGCCCCCTCCCACCTCCTCAGTGCTTGTTGTGATACGAGAGGCACATCCAGGCGGGTTGAGGCTCCAGCAGGCTGTGAGAGGGGCTCTAAAAATAGCTGGTTGGAGCTGCTGCTGCTGCTGCTGCTGCTGCTGCTGCTGCTGCTGCTGCTGCTGCTGCTGCGTCGGTTTCTACGACGATTCTCGCCGTGTCATAATCCACGTTGCGTTCCACTACCGTGCGGCGCCGTTCGATTGGTCGCCGCCGCCTCTTTGATTCTGTCGAGAGGCTGTGTTTTTTTTGTTGTTGTTGATGTTTCTGTGTTTTAGCAGACAAAGAGAGATTTGCTCAGTAAAACCAGAGGAATGTTCCAGACTGTGTGACACACACTGACTCCCACCCTGGAGCAGCGGAGCCGGCCCCACTTACTGGGCCGCGGCCGAACACATAAACATGCCCTGATGCTGGAGCTGTCACATAGGCTCACATCCTCTTCCTCGCTCTGCATTACTACTCTCCTCTCTCTCTATCTGTTTCTCTCACTCTCCCTCTCTCTCCAACACACACATCCACACACACACACACACACACGCAGAAACATCACAACTGTGTTAAGAAGCTCCCATGAGATCTTGGGATGCGCTCGCGGTGTGTGTCTCCCAGTAAGACGGTGAGTTATAGGAAGTGTCACTTGTCACCACTGGTTTCTCCCAGCCGCAGGATTCTGTAACCTCCCCGAGAGCGGGCGAGCGAAGGGGGGAGAGGGAGGGCTGGGTCGGGCCGGTTCCATCCAGCAGGATGGATGGTGTTACTGTACTCACATCAGGACTACTGGCCTCTTAAAGTGACTTCTTTCCTCTTCTCGAAGCGGCAGGATTGAGAGTTTAGCTGAGTTCTGGTTTGGAGTTTGATGAAGCTGAGACAGATGTCCAGAGACGTTGGACGTTGGGCGTCCAGATGTTCAGATTGAGTCGTTTACGAAGCCACAGCTGGTCGGCTTGAGCGCCACGTTGTACAGAAATCAGACCAACAGTTTCACCTGGTGCTTAACAGTTCTTCAGTTTGTAAATTCTCTGGTTTTATTCAAACATAGACGGCTGATTATCAGGTTTTGGTTTTTTTTAGCATTTTATTGTTTTACTTCATTAACTCAGTAATAAATATGAATAGTTCATGTAACATGCAAAAGAAATACTGAATGAAAAACAGTTCAGCAGAACTTTGGACCAATCGAATCGTCTTTAGATGACTTTTCCTGAACATTCCTCTCAGTCCTGTTAGGAGACGGAAGCAACAGGAAGGATCTGCTTCCACTTTCTCTACCAAATACAGAGGAGAAAAGCAGCTTCTGATATGTTTAATCTGACTGAATATCTCCATTAATGGGATGAAATAAACCAAATAAATCGGTGTTGGTTTCCAGATTTATCGACACACACTGAACGACCTTCCTGCGTCCTTTAGGTTCGTCCTGCTCCAGATGCATCTAAAAGCTGCAGGATGGCACCTCTGCTGTTTGGCAACAGTTTTTACCAGAACCAGCAGAGCCAAAAAATAGAAAGTTGAAACTGTTATTCATGCAGGTCCTGAATTAAAATAATGCTGAAAAAAATTGTCATTAAATTTTCTCTAACTTGGAGGAATCCTGACCTCCTGCAAACAGGCTGATCCTGGAAGGCTGGAAGACCTAAAACCTTTAAATCAGATTTATTAGCAGAATATTTACAGCAGCAGAAATTAGATCTAATCTGTCTGAAGTTTAATCTCTAATCTGCTGGATTTTAAATAAAACCTCAATTTATGGGAATGAAAATCTCTAATCTTATTGAAACACATTTAAACTAAGTTCAATTACCTGGTTGCTGTAGAAACAAGTGAATCTGACTGGCTGACCTCTGACCTTGACCTCTGTCCCTTTGTGCTGCAGCCGACACGCCCATCGAGGAGTTCACGCCCACGCCGGCCTTCCCGGCGCTGCAGTACCTGGAGTCGGTGGATGAGGGCGGTGTGGCCTGGCAGGCGGGGCTCCGGACGGGCGACTTCCTCATCGAGGTAGGAGCTTCCACAACCGGCTTCCTGGTTACGTCTTCTGCAGGAAAACGGATGGGTTTGAATCCTCGCGGTGTCGTAAGCTTCCTGAAGACGAACTTTAGAAGCTCCTGAGCCTTTTGCTTCCGGTCTGTTAAACTGGTCTCTTTAGACAGAGGAGAATAATCTGCTGGCAGGTTCTCCTGCCTGTAGAAATGTGGGATTGTTCAGAGGTTTAGCAAAGTTTTTTACATTGTGGTCCAAGTTTGGGTCTGTGTTTTTTTTGTAGTGTTGTTTGCAGCTGGCTGTTGGAGGCCACAGTTAGCAAAGTTAGCATTATCAATGTAAACATCAGTTTATTTAGGAGAAGCTGCATCTACTCAGAGATTTCTCCACAACCAGCACATTAATGAAGCTGAAAACTTTCAAAGACTGTTCCTCTGTGGTGGGTAAACTGGTATTAAACATGGATACATTTATGTGTATTTCTAGTTAAATAAATAAAATGAAAAACAAGTCACTCTTTAATCATGATGATGATCCCATGTGGTCATAGGTTGACAGATCACTAGCTGTGTTTCCATCAAAGATTTTTTTTAAATTCGCATTTTGAACTAATGAAAAGGTTTGATAGAAATTCAAAATAACTTCCTCAATTTCACAAAAACATTTTTTTACTCTCACTTGAGGTTGTATTGGGCTTTTCTGAAAAAGGCTAAAGTGTAGATGGAAACATATTTGCAGAATAAATCCTGATGTAGCAAAGGCTCCGTCCGCTGGCGCCTTACCAGAGGCACGGCGCTCAGAAAGTCCAAACCTCTGAGCAGGTCTGACGCCATTTCTCTGAGGTCCATGCTAGTTTTCAATTTTTGCTTCTGGTTTATTATTCATGCGAAGCGTTAATGTCTGATGAAATTACGATTCTGATTTTTTTTTTCCTAAATCACTGTCAGATGTTGTTGCTGTGAAAATCCTCAATAAAACTGAGAAATGTTGTTGGATTTGTAATTAGTCACTTTTCTGGGGAAAAGAAATTGCTAGAGTGGTTGGAAAAGTTGCTAAATGTAGCAACAAAGATGCTAAGTTGTCACCATGCTCTGCCAGTCTCTGCTGATCTTCTGACCTTATGACCTTTATGAAGGCCAATCAGCAACATGGAAAATGAATGATGCTCTGGGATTGGCTGCTTTGCAAATGGTCAAGCATGTCAAGTAGCGTTATGCTAACGCATTTCAGCTTCCTTTCTAATATTTTAGATCTGCTCTGCAAAAAGAATTATTGAATACTGAACAGCTGATTGATTGATTGATTGATTGATTGATTGATTGATTGATTGATTGATTGATTGATTGATTGATGTCATGCTCCATGATGGAGTAAATCTGACTTCCTGCAACACTCTTATATTTCAACAGAAACTAAAACCATGTTTGCAGGTTTTATCTTCCTCTGTTTTAATGCAAACGGTTGAAGATGTTCTGACATCTTTGTCTCGATGAGCTCATCAGTGCAGACGCCCCCCTGCTGTAAAAAGTTGAACCAGACCTGAAAAGTGGGCTGAGGCTGAAGTGAGTTTGTGTTGTGCTGGACAGATGTGGCTCAGAAACGTTGAAACAAACGCTCCGCCCTCCAGTCGCCATGATTACTGTGCGGCGTTGTGTCGTGTAAGCAGCTTTGATCTCTTTGGGTTTTTATCTTGTAGTGCAGTAAGGATTTGTGTTGATTAAAATGACTTGAAGTAATCTTCAGCGTTGCAGCGTTTCTGTGCTTCCAGAATGTGCTGCTGCCGCTGAATGTGAGTCAGTAACGCAGCGCCGCAGATCGTATCACAGCTGCTACGTTAGTCCGGGAAAATCACGTCGTCTATTTCGGGCTCGCTTTTTTTACACAGCTCCATAACGAGTGCGTGTGTGTGTGTGTGTGTGCGTGTGTGTGAGCAGCGGTGAACTGGAGATTGGTTTGTTTTGTGTTTCTGCTAAATGGAGCATCAAATGAGGAGAAGCAGGCTGCTTCTGCATCTGCAGCTCATCCTCAGTCAGATTTAAACTTCCTCCAATATTTCCCTGAATTCCTCCTCCGTCATCGATTCGATCGGCTTCAGAACGAAGTGAGAACTGCTGCTATGTTGCAGGACTGACGTGCTTTCAGAAAGCTTAAGAAGACCTGACGAGGTTTGAAGCACTCACAGCTGCACAGCCTGCAGCTAGTTAGCCATGCATGGATCATATTTTACATAAACATGAAGCTAACGTCACGGCGAGCGCTGATTCTCTGCAGCCTCAGTTTCAGCTTTAAAATGCAGTTCAGATTCTTGGTCCCAAAAACACATGATGTCAGTATGAAGAAATAGGAACAGGGAAAAAAGTGTTAGAGTTTTTGTGAAGATGTAATTATAGATACAGAGTATGAAGATGCTTTCATTTCTGGTCCTGAAGTCTGAACATACTAACAGGGATGTTCTGTGTTTTCCTGGGGCCGCGTTTCACATGCAGTCTCATTATTTTATTATGAGAAATTTAATGTGATTTTTTCAACCTCCAACCAGAGTAGCTTGCTCATCTAATTCACAAAGAGCTCACAAATTCAGCAAAGTTCCTCAAAGCAAACAGGATCTCTGTGTTAACAAAGTTTTCACACATTTAAATGAAATATAATGAATTCATTTAGAGGAAATCAGTGCCAGTCAGAAAACGTCTGATTCTGATGCGATTCCCTGATGGTCTGGAGGTTTGATTTTATACAAAAACTCCAACATCTGGTCCACCTCCAGCTGCTGTGGCTCTGTTTCTCTCAAACCAACCAAACCCTTTGAGCAACCTGAACACAACACGAAAACCTGAAGACACTGAGAGCAACAGACTGAGGGTCAGAGGTCAATTCAAACCTTCACAAACGGACTGGACTTTCAAGGCAAACGGTTTGGAGTTGGCATAAATGGGACTGAACAGAGCTGAGTCAGAATGACCGGCGCCGTTTGTGACAAACGAAGCTGGTTTAGACAGAGGGACACATCCGTTCCTTCAGATGAACCTCAAAGCTGCCGATTTTATCCAGGATTCACATCATCCCCACTGAAAGTTCTCCAGTTTGTGAGCAGAACGTGGCAGGTTGTATCGTTTTACTGTTCCACAGTAAAGCAGAACATGGAGAGTTTTATGGATCAAACCTTCTGAAAGTTAAATGTTCCAGGTCTGGTTCCTCAGGCCTGTGCAGCTTCTGCTCTGCAGTTCCTCTGTGCGTCTCAGTGGAACGGTTTGCTCCGACATCGTAAATATTCTGAAGACAGTTTAAATCAGAGTAAAGGGGTCCAGCAGTAAAGCAGCTCTTCCTGCTGTAAATAAACTGTACGTTTGCTCTTCACTCCCCTGCTGCGACACTAGAATGCTGAAAAGCACAAACAGAAGCTGAAAGCTGAGCTGCTGCAGCTCCGGGCCGAGCCAACGTGAAAGTGGGCGCTGTCCCGCTCCGTGGAGGTCAGGGCGATGCGGAGATGCCGTTTCTGCTCCACCATGTCAGACCCGATGAGCGTCATCCTCTTCCAGTCCGGCAGCAGGCGAGCAGCGGAGTCAGATCTCTGACAGGTGAACGCTGCTCCTCACGTGTTCGCCACATGTGCCGCTCTTCTGACTGGAACAGTCTGAAAGTCGACAGATTTGAACTGATTTCTGCTCCATCGCCTCACAAACACAAAGACAGAAATTCAGAAATGATTGTTTATGTGAGCAGAGTTTAAAGTTCAACAGAGAAATGTGATGTCCTGAGATGTAGCAGCTCCTGTTCTGCAGCCCAATGCATGCCTGATGCAGGGCTGAGCGTCAGCGCTGCTTTTCTTCAGAGCCTTAATGCAGCAGGCGGACCGGTGAACCTCGTGTGATTAAACTCTGCTCGTCGTCGTTCCCATCAGCCGGGTTTCTGCAGAACCGGCTTCACAGCTTTAGACTCTGAGTCAGCGACTGCTGAGGGTCATGATGGACAGGTGAAACATTCTCAGGCCTTAACATTTAAAGGGATCTTTGCAGCATGAGAAGGACTGGAGGTGTTGAAGCCAAAAGGTCAGACGGCTGGTTTGTCTTTTCAGACAGTCTTTAGTCAGAGCTGAAGTTGTTTCTGTTTAATGCCACTTAGGTTTATCAAAATGATTTATTCCTGATAAATTCTGGAATAACATGAACTTTTCCAAGTATTTCAGAAGTTGTCAATATTTAAAAATGCAGACAGAGGCAGAAAGTTCAAACAGACAAAACAGTTCAGCCTTCCTGTTATCCACTGAGTCTCGCTCTCTCATTGAGCCTGAATGAAAGGGAGCTTCTCTTTAAATAGCCTCCTGCCGCTGCATTATAATATATGCAATTCTGAAAATATTGGTGACTTTGCCACATTAATACATTACACTGACCCTTCAACAAGAAACCTGTAAGAAATTAGATTTTATTAGTTTCTTTGGTTTCTGGTCTTTGGAAACGTTTGAATCTCCTTCCTGTAAAACTTCCTGTAAACATTGCTTCAGTAAACATCAAAACTCTGAGGTTAAGAAATATTGGTGATAAATGTGTCACTATAGTGACTAAACAGCAGATTAAATATTGATTCTTTATCTTAAATGCTGATATGTTTGTGTGAATGCTGCAGACAGCAGCTGGTCTGCTTCAACCTGAACACATGAAATGTTTGCAGAATGCATCCTCTGGTCTTTAAAATGCACTAATGTGCACTGAAGTCCCGCTAGCGGGACAGAACATGCATGGATCTGCTCCCTGCACATGCGTGCAGCTTCAGCTGCGTGTTTCTGTGAGTGTGTTTGCTCTGGAGGTAGATGGAGTGGAGCACTTACTGGCTTATATAACGCACAACTTTGGCCAAGAGAGGGAAGTGTGACCTGGGTACCATGCAGACCCATGCCTCCAGGTGTGTGTGTGTGTGTGTGTGTGTGTGTGTGTGTGTGTGTTCTCCAGCATCTCCCTCAGGACTCCCTGCACAAACCTGTCAGTTGTGCAGTGAAGTAGCACAAGCTGCCCTCACAGGGAGGCTTTCCTCTTAGCCGACTGCATCTCTGAAGTCTGAAACGTCAGAAAACGACGTTTCCGTTCAAAATTTACATCCTGATGTTTCTGCTGAAGTTTAAGGTTTTCATAACAAGGTCTGGTTGTAATTCACAAATAAGAAGAACGTCTCAGTACTTCTGTTTATCCATGTAGAGCCAAAGCTGATCCTTCCTCTGTTGTATTCTGAGTTTATTCACATTGCAGTAAAACTTTCTGGCTCAAATGTGTCAAATTCGGCCTCTAGA